TCAAAGCTCTGTAGTCAACACATAATCTTAATGTACCTTCTTTCTTATGTACAAAAAGAACTGGTGCTCCAAAAGGTGAAACACTTAGGTGAATAAAACCTTTCTGAATAAGATCAGCTAATTATTTCTTGAGCTCATCCATTTTTGTAAAAGAAAGTCTGTAGGTAGGTCTGGATGGTGATTCAGATCCTGGAATGAGATCAATTTTATGATTAATTGCTCTTTTAGGTGGTAGTTTATTAGGTAAGATTTCTGGAAATACATCTTGAAATTTTCTTTTGATGTCTAATACTTTTGGTAAAAGTGATTTCTCTTTTGCTTCTTCTTTGTCTTCAGCATTATTGAGATGTATGGTGAAGAGTTCTGCATCTGCTAGTAGGTTTGCAATCTGTTGTCTTGAAATATATATTGAATTGCAGCTTGAGCCTGACTTAACTTCATTATCAACTTGAACTTTGATTGTCTTAGAATTATAGGTAAAGGTTATGATATTGTTTCTCCAGTCTATGGTTGGGTTGGTGTGAAACAATCAAGGTTTACCTAAAATAAGATCATATCTCTGTAATTTCAATACCTACGCATCTATCTTATGCATTCTATAAGTATCTAATTTTAACTCATCAATCTTTGCCATAGTAATTGCTGTTATCTTTTTGCTATCTGTGAGTTTTACAGTTACTGGTGTTGTTTTCTGCAATTTAACTTTGTTTTTCTGTATAAATTTCTCATCAACAAAGTTTCTTGATGTGCCACTATCTAGCAATACCTATGCTGGCTTGTCATTTACTTGATCATTGAATTTCAACAATCTTTCTCTATTATCTTCAAGATGAGCAAATTCAACTCTCTCATAAGATTGTGAAGATTCTTCTTGTTTGTCTTCAACATTTGCAATTTTGACCTTTGGTTTTGAATAACAATTCTTGGCAAAGTGGCCTGGTTTGTCACAGTTATAACAGATGCCTTTGGGTTTATTATTCTTCTGATTATTGTTATTCTTTCTATTGTTATAATAACTTTCTGTCTGGTCTAACTCTATTGGTATAGGGCCATTATTCTGATGATTTCTATGCTGATTTTGTGAGTGATGACTGTTGTTATTTCTGCTTGGTAAGCTTAGAGGTCTGCCTTGCCCATACATTGCTATGTCATAGCAAATGGCTAACTTCCAAGCATCTTCTAAGGTTTCTGGTGCCTGGTAACTTATCTCCATTTTTGTGACTGGTTTTAGACCTTCTATAAAGTATGTGACCTGATCTAAAGCACTCATATCTGTGATTTGTCCAACTATATTTCTGAATTTTGTACCATAGTCTTGAACAGATCCTGTTTGATGAAGAAGGTGAAGTTGTCTATGGAGATGTTGTTGATAGTGTGGTAACTAGAAGATTTCTCTTAAGGCTGTGACAAAGGCTTGTCAGTTTTCAAAAGGCTCTACACTATCATCTACCTTTACTTTATTAAGATACCAATGTAAAGCTGTATCAGTTAAGAAGGTGGTGGCATATTGTATCTGAGTTTTCTTATTTGTAATTTCCTGGACCTGAAATATAGTTTTAACTTGCATTATCCAGACAAGTACATTTTTATTTGGTTCTCCAGAGTAGGTAGGTAGTTTAACTGAAAGGTGAGGTGAAGGTTTAGAATCAGAAGGACCATCTTCTTTTACAGTCTTGATTAATTCAGCCATACTTGTCATGAATTGTGTGAATTGTTCTTGATTTATCTTGACAAAATATTATTTTTCAAAAGCTAAAATATGTATATGTGTAGTGTAGTGTGTGATGTGTAAGTATAAGATATTAGAGGGTGGTGTTTGTATAATCATGTCCGCTGCTATCAAGTTGTAAGATTATTTTGTTAATGGTTGTAAATAAAATAAAATGCGATATGAATAGGTTTTTAATTTTATAACTTATGATTATTTTTATTATTTAAAAGTATTCAAATCTGAAGTTAATTTACAGAACAGACAGATCATATTTATAAGAAAAGAAATAAATATGAATGCAAATAAATTAATAATAATTTATAAATAAAATACATATAGGTTGAACAGAATTAATTAACTTAATTTGTGTCTCTAAAGGACAACTAATCATAATCTAATAATTAATGATAATTATAAATAATAATAAATAATAATATAAATAAAGAACAAAAAGAATGAATAGAAATATAAAGAAATAATTAATAATAATGTAATTAAAATATTAATAATCTAAATTTGTAATTATGATACACATAGTGATCATCTGAGTAACAATGTGCTAAATCTAGAAGTATTTAATACATAATGATTATTTGTGTATCCAGAGTGAAAATGATCTTCTTAAAAATATAATACAAAGCTAATCTGTTATACAAATAACATAAAATAAAGATCTAAACTAAAAGAGAACTAAAGGAAGATAACCCAATCAAAATTGTTACAAAAAGGATCATTTTATATATATAAAGTATATGATAAAGAAGTATACAAATTTAGAAATAAAAATGAAAAAGTTTTGAAGAATTCATATAATAATGATCACTTAAAACTATATATCAAGTTCAACAATCTAGAGCCAATTATTATCATCAATAATAATTAAAAGATTTACAGAATAAATCTCTTAAAGCCAAGGATTTTGTAATCAATCACTTATTTATATGATACAGTAGATGTGATATAGTATATAGTGCAGCTATAACATGTAACATAGTAATTATTGATTATTACTAAATTAGATAAATAAGTAATTTTTATTAATTAATCTTATTTATAATTAATTTTATTTTTAATTTATATTATTATTCATATTTAGCCTTATTTATTTATTAATTTAGTCATATGTATCATATATAATTTATAGTTTTATTAAATTAATAATTTTCTAATTAATTATTATTAATTTTCTTTTATTTCTTGCTTTAACTTTGAATAACTTAATATTTTGCTAATTTTAAATTCTTTATTATCATATATTTAATATTTCTTGTGATTATTCTTTTTAAATTTTACTTATTCTTGATTAAATTAAGTGAAATATCATGTTAGAAATAATTTGTAATTAGTATAGCAAGAAAAATATTATATATAAAGAGTCAAGAAGTGATCAAGAAGAATAATTAAGTTTAATAGAAAGAATTAGCTACTGAGTTAAGAGTAGTTAATTAATATATTTTTTTAATAAAATACACATATTTTATCTTATATCTTATCTTATTTTTTTTTGCTCTATTGAGAGAGTATTTTGATCAGAAGTAAATTTATATATATTATCTTATTAAGAAGATAATCATATTTTATTATAAGTAAAATATGTATAAATAGAAGATAATTATATTTTGTTAGAAAAGTAAATCTCATATATATCATCTTATTAAAAAAATAATCAGTCATATAATTTTTTGAAGCTATAAAAAATAAATAACTATTATGAATACAGTTACTATTACCATTTTAAAATAATTACATATACATAAACTCAAAATAATAATAGTATTAATTATCTAAAAAGTCATAATTTCTCTAATTATCTGGAATTTGCAAAAATAAATTCTTGAAATAATTTTTATATGATATTATATGTATTTGTATATATATTATTTTATATTGAGAAGTATTTGACTTGATAATTCTTGCTTATTAAAAAATTGAGCATATTTTTAATATTAGTTTCTAAATCATATTTGTTAATAAAATGAGCTGTTAGTGATTTATATAGTTTTTGTTAAATATTTGTGACTTTAATTTTGCATAAATTTTAAACTATAATATTAAGATTTTCTTTACTTATGATTTCTTTAATCATAGCTATAATGATAAGCAAAATATATAATTTACTTACTTCATTAGCTACTAATTTTCTAATAATCTTAAATTACTTAATCTTATTATTATTATTAATTGAATATGTATAATTTAGCATATTTTTAAAATACTCAATTTTTAACTATTTGAAGAGCATGATATATATTATCTTAATTTTTATATTATATTTATCAGAATCATACTTATTTTTCTTTATTTTTCTATGAAAATATCTTCTTTACATATGCTCAATTCATTATATTTTGCAAGATAACAGATATAGATGATCCAAAAATCATTATTGATATACTTTCAACTATTATGTCATATCTATATATTAGAAATGAGTAATCACAAATTCTCACAGAATTCTTTTTCTGAGATTTTGAATGATGTATTAATGTTGAACAACTTTATATATTTTTGATTGATTGTTTATAACATAATTAAAGTAAAAATATTAGAGAACTTAAATAGAAATATTAAGTATATGTATTGAATAAGTATGTAATAGAGAAATAAAATAAAAAATATATGATATTAAAAATAGTGAGTATGCATAAAATTGATTTCTTATATATTATTATTATAATACTTATAAAAAATATATGATATTAAAAATAGTAAGTTATTATAATACTTATAACTTGTATTTGATATTAAAAATATATTTTTAATAATCTTAACCTTCTTTTTCTTCTCCTTATTCTTCCTTTTCTCTCTTAAAAAAAGTAATGCTACCTTGCTATAAATAATATTTATTAATATGTTTATTATTCTCCCGTACATTGCTAATTTCCGTATCCAATATAACGCGGATCACATGGTTATATATATATATATCACATGATTTGTGATCAACTGATCTGGATCGGATTTTATATCACGTGCAACTACACGGCTTTAACGGGTGACTTTGCAAATTCTTATTTTTCTTTTTTTCACAAGTTCTAGCAAATAGGACAGGGAACAAGAAGTTACAAACTAATTAACTTCCACAATGGCATTTATGTATATTATGTATGCGGCTACGAAAGTAATACTCCATATTATGAGCCTCCATTGCGAAACAGCGAGCAACAGAAGAGTAACGGAACACTTGGAGGAAAAATTGATCATGTCAAACTATATGTTTTTTTAATTCTGAATTTATCTTATTTTTTTTATTATAGAAAAACAAAAATATAAATAAATTATGATGATTTTATTGATTCATATTCATATCCCGTCTGAACTGCTCCAAACGAAGCATGCCATATTCAAAATAGCTAAATTTTATCTGGCTGTGAGCAGCTTGCACCAATCCCCAAAGTCCCCACATTACATGACTAGCTAATGCAAAAGCTTCGCATTCTTGACGTAGTAACTCAAGATTATGTTCATCAACACCACCATCGTGAGATGCACCCATATACGAACTCAAAAAATTTAATTGTTCTTTTCTGCTGGGGTACCAGTCAGAATGTAGAATATGTGGCTCAGGAGAATGGTAATCGAATGACCATTCGCAAAAATGATTTGCGATATCAAATCCGCGAAAGTTATAACCTGCATATTCGAAATCTACCACCACAAGTTCATTAGATCCATCATTTAGCCTTAATATATTCCCATATTGGGTCTTTGATTATACAAAAAAAAAGATTAAAATTAATGTTAACTAAATAAACATACAAACATATGGAAAAAGAAAAAAGTATATTTACATCATTATGTGCAAATACTAGAGGCGAATTTAAGGAATCAAGTTTCTGCTTCAAAGTTTGGATTTCAAAATATAATCTTTCCATATCAAAGGAATCTAGTCTTTTTGATCGTGCTGGATCGTTTCTAAATTCAGGTCCTGAGATGACCTTGACAGCTAAAGGGTACCATTTGTCGATGTTCACCCACACTTGAGGCACTGTATCTTTTGGAGGTGGAAAGAGTTTAACAATATTATGAAGAATGGCCATTCGTTGAGCAATGTGACTTGAAGTTTTTAAATCTCGTATGTCCTCCCGTGTCAAGGTTTCCGAATCTAAATATTGTTCAAATCGGCCGTTTCCGAATATGCCCAGAAGCAACGGTCCTATTTTCAAAGTCGATAACTTTTGCAGAAATTCCAGTTCTTGTTTTCGATCTACTAGTTGATCTACTGCGATTCCGTACACGCGCAAAACAACTTTACGCGGTTTCTTTTGTGTAACAGAGAAATGACTGTGTTTAGGAAATGCTGTCAGGAAAAAGACGCGATTTGTAAGAGCTCCGCTAATGGATTCGAGGTGAATTTGTGATTCATGAACAATATCATCCCAACCAAGTAAAGTATTAACTAGGTATAGGATCTTTTTCTGGAATTCTGGTCCGTCATCTAAATTACTATAAAAAATTTTCATGCGATACACCGCAAATCAAAAAGGCAGTTTTAAAAGAGATTCTATTAAAAAAAAGGATTCACAAATGAATTATTCCACAAAACCTGGTCATATAAAGAAAAATATTCTGGCACAAAACTCACGTTAAATCTAACATATAATCACAAGAGGGAATTTGCAAAATTTGCATTGGTTCATCCTTTGTTTTATTCAATTTATTTGGTTTGCTTTTTGACCGGAAAAGATTGTCGCGTTTTTGCTTTTTTTCTTGCGTTTTCTCCCCACTACTATCATTACTAGACCTAAAAATTTTTGGCAAGAAAACCGACGAACTACTCCCTTTTTTCCTAATTAACGGAGCATTAATAAAATGAAAATGTTTATGAACAGTAGTAGCGCTGCTCGGCTTTACTATCTGTTGTTGGTGGTCAGCTTCTACTTGTGACATTATGAATTTTAAATTTATGAATTTTTTAAATTTTTAAAAAAAAAATAATTTATTCTCTTCTAAACTTACTGTCGGTTGGCTGTTGGCGTTGTCTTTATATATTTAAATCCACGTGCAATCTGTATACAGTATTGTTTCTAAAATTGGGACTCGATCATAAGTTTATTTTCAAGACAATCAATCAATTGTCTATATGATTCATCACAAGACCTCGCACAAATTTAAATTGGCGGAATGTGAAACGCTAAAGGGCGATGTGATTATATGTGATGTGATTATATGAAAGGTATTGAAAATTTCATGTTTTCAAGACCGCAGGTATTCTTTTTATATCAAAGGTGATTATATGAGAGGTATTAAAAATTTCTTTTTCAATAAGATTAATAAGATTAATTAAATTTCAATAAGATTAAATTTCAATAAGATTAAATTCTCATTGACCGCAGTTACGAACAAAGAATAAATTTTTCTATTCTTTGCTACTATTGAAATCATTTGAATCTTTAATAGTCAGGTTGGCTAGTTGTTGATCCAAAATATGCTCACATTTTGCCAGCTCACTTGCAGAACTATTTTCATCATCACCATCTGCATCATCGTCCACATGTTTATTTTTAAGTGGAAATAATACTCTGTTTGTAGGTGTACCTCTTAATGGTTTCGCTGTACGGCCAAATGATGATGTCGGCGTTGTACTTGCTGAGACCTGACTAATATCTTTATTCGGCGTATGTGAAACACCTCGTGATGGTTTTGCTCCACGACCAAATGGAGTAAATTTTGGTGCAGTGCTTGATGTATTTATGTGATATGAGCCTTTAGATGGAGAATTGAGAGTATCCGGAAATTTATCCATTTTTGTCTCATCAATATATCTAGGCAAAGGCGAAGAGAAAGGCGTCTGAAACTCGGACTCCACTAACTGATTTCTATTGGCTTTTAGAGAACGGTTTCCTTTTGGGGAAGACCGCTGTTTTGTTGGAGACTTCCGCTTAGGTGAATTAGGGGATGTTGATGAGTCAGATGTGGACGTGGCGTTTACTCCACCAGAGGAAGCACCAGCAGTCGAAGAGGCATCGTCGTCTTTCAAGAATAAATTTATTTTTTCATCATTTACTTCAGAGTGTTGTTTTTGTTCAGACATTTCCAATGCACTCAATCGTATTATATATTCAAGAAAGCTAAGAGTATTTATGGTATTACGATAATTGTTTGAATCATTAGTAGAAAGCATTTTATTTTCAACGGGGAAAGAATCAGATTCTTTCCCCTCAGAAATGGGTTTTTGATCGACTTGAAATTCAGTTAAACTTTGTTTATGTCCTTCATTATTTCTTTCTGTATCACTTATTGTTTCATCTTCACTTATTGTAGCATCGCTGGAAATATCATCGTCATTTAATGGAAGTGGTGTATTTATAGCCATACCAAGAGAAGGTTCTTCGTCACTGTCACTAGCTTGTGAATCCACTTCGTCTTCTTCTTCCCCTTCCTCAAAAGAGAATTCAGGTTCTTGAAATAATTCTAATCCATAACATTCTACCTTAGCTGTTTCACTTGTTTCAAATTTATGTTTATCGGGAGTAACAGCTACCGGAGGAATATATAATTGATCGTTATTTTCAGAATCTGATTCTTTATTATTGACTGTGTCTTGATTATATCTGTTCTTTTTGTATAGTCCTTTAACCACTTTTAATACCAGTACCGGAGTTCTGGAATCTTCTATATTCAACATTGATCCTGATGAATTGTAAAAGAGTCGAGAAATTTCACTGACTGAGATCCGAAGTACTTTACCGGGAATCTTCTCATTCTTTTCCAGCTTCGCGCGAATCTCTTCATTAGTATCAAATTCTTCATGATATCTTCCATCATTCAAGTCTTCAGTCAAGACTAATTCATATAGAAATTGCTTCTTTCCTTCGGAACTATTTTGACGCACTCTTACAATTTCTCCGTCACATTTAGTAAATTCTTCTTTCCATGTAAAATCCCCAATAGTTTTCGGGCGAAAGTTTCCAGCAAACAAGTAATAAAGCCGCAATTTAAACAAAGGACCAACACATACTTTTTGTAGTTTTTCCCTGGTAAATTCCTTGTGTGCCTCATTTAAAGCTGCGGAAGCTTGCAATAGAAGCGAAGGACTTACATGATTTCGAAGTGAAACACCTAAATTGGCACCACTGGTCGTAAGCACCAGATTCAGATATGGTACAAATTCTCTTATCTTAACATCGAGAGCTTTCATTTTGCTAAGAACTTTTGTATGATCGACTACTTTCGTTCCAGATCCTGAAGTAGAGGTGGATTCGTTAATGTCAGCATCATCCATTGAAACCATTTGAGCAAATGCGTCGATTTCCTTGCGCAACTGAACGGCTTGAGCGACTGCTGGTTCAATAAAGGTGTTGCCGCGTGCACTAATGATCTCAATTAGATCAATTGAAGGTTGCACAATGCGTATATTTACATCAAGGCTCTGAGACATCGAATTGAGAAATCATGTTTAAAAAGTTTCCCAGAGAAATTTATTCAAATTACAGGAACAAGAATTACCGCTTTCACTTGTTCAAGCTCACTCGTGTCAATTTTATTAGCAGCAGAATCATTTTTTATATAATTTGCCACTTGTTTCTAAATATTATACGTGAGTCGTAAAAGTTTCGCAGATTAGAAAGAATCATTTAAACAAAGTGAAAAAAAGAAATTCGCACCATAGCATAGTTTGTACTATATGCAAAAGCCGCCTTTCCGACCTGCACAAGCAATAAAGTTAAATCATGTGTATAAGAAAAACGCGACTAGAAGGCAGAAATTCCTTACGAAGGTCGCTGTATGAAGTGCAACTTTTGATAAAATTTCGTCCATGAGTGAAAACTATTTGGAAGGAGAGTATTGTAAAGGGCGAATATAACAATGAATCGCTTTATCTTATTTTGGGGAGTCATAGTTAAAATTTTGTTCAGATCATCTGACGCAACAAATTACAGACATTTTATATTTTATGCAACTTTGTGTAACGGAACCGGGATACTCATATGACCGACCTTCTTGTGCTACAAACTACAAATAAAAATAACGTTTATCTATTATCTATAGTATATTGATTTGACAAATAGAATAAAAACTTTTTATTACATAGGTGTCTCGCCAAATTTTTTTTTCTCCTTGAAAATGTCTGATTCACGATATAATCGTTCGCAATCATATCGTTCAGAATACAATAGAGATCGTCGCGAGCGGTTAACTTACCGCGATGAGGGAAGAGATCGTCGCCGGAGGATTGGAGAAAGATCAAGAAGTCCTAACCGTTACTCTGGCGATGGTAGGGGAGCTCGTCTAGATTATCGTAGTAGAGATGACTACTTTTACAGAGAAAGAACAACCGATAGTATTCCTCGTTCTTGGGGCAATAAAGGATATCCAGAAGAGCGCCGTATAAGTAATGGCAAATGGAGGCATTCAAGATTGGACATGTCAGGCGAGGTTGAATTTTTTATAACCTCTTTGAAGACAATGAAATGACTCTAGTACAATTATATAAATATGTTAAGTGTTTTTGGCAGTATAGGAACGTTCACATGAACGTCGTAATCTGGGTGAACCAAATAATTTCGTAATTCTACAAGGCCTTCCTTTTTCAATTACCGAACACCAAGTCGGTTTCTATCGCCTCTCCTCTCCTTGTGTATATGCTCTCTTGATATAATTAATAACCATTATAATAATGTATTACTTAATTATTGTTGACCTTGACGATTATTTTAAAGATTCAACAAACTCTCGAAGGTTTACAAGCAAGCATTGAAAATATAAGATTGATAAAAGATCATAAGACAGGTTTAATTAATTCTGTATAAATCATCGAAATCTCTTTGCCATAAGGACTTATTCATAATGTTATGTGATAATAGGAACATCTCGTAGATATGCTTTTGTCAAGTTCACGAGCGTAGAACATGCCCGTCAATTCATCGAAGCCAATCATCCATATATTATAATAGATAAAGTACGAGTAAATATTGCATATAGTCATAGTGCATCGGTCGAAGATGAAGGTTGGGCATGTAAGAGTGTAAGTTTAAAAGATAAATTCAGAAACTTCTCCATTTATCTCATCCTAAATACAATACTATATATTTTAGTGTCGGCATCTTAATTATAAATGGCTCGATAGGTGTCATCAATGCAAAAATCTAAAAAGAGGTTTAACATTCACTATTTGAATATTTTATAATATAAAAGTTTTGTTCGCTTTGGATTTCATTTATTTACACAGTTGACTTGATCATAGAAGTATCAGGATCTCTTCATTCTGCATCTTCAGGATCATTTTTGAATTTTAATGACGGATCAAAAGATGCGAGCATCTATCCTCATAATATTTTATTAGTCCGTGGTTTGGACCCTTTGACAACTGAGGAAAGTTTGTATTCTGCTATTAACTCGATAAGTCCTCAAGGCATGCTCAAAAGAGTGTTACTGATAAAGGATCGAGCATCGAGAATATCTTGGGGATTTGCATTCTTAGAATATCGAGATATTCAGGTAATAATTAGTTGAGATTTTGATGCTCTCACAAATTATCTAGAATAAATTTTTAAAATATTCTCCTCTCATCAGACATCCGCGAAGGTTCTATCCCTGGTTTGTGATTTGCAAAAATTCCCTAAAGGATTTATCATCGACTCACGTAACGTTTCCATAACGTACGCAAATCCCGGATGCTTTATTCCTGTATACTCCACAACTGAATGGAAATTTTGGGGAGATGAAGGCGTAGCCTTATCATATTGGGATGATAAGGCTTATGCAGTAGAATATCTAGGGCCAATTTCTACTAGTATTGACGAATCCCAACAGTTCAGTGCTGTGATAAACGATTTCCGTGATTCTGAAGTTGCAGAATTTTCGTTGCAAGAAAATGAAGCAGATTCGAAAAGTGTTGTAGCTGAAGAAAATAAAGAAAGTCGTGAGTGTGTTTTTCTATATATGGCAATGCCTTTATTATTATAATAAAAGATAATGGTACTATGTAAAACTATTAGGTAATGTGGAAGATGAATTAAATGCATTTTACTCAGATATGGGTGAAGTTCTCACGTCGAACGGCCAAACTGAAACCAAATCAATTTTTTCAGTGTCTGATATGGTGTCATCAGCATCAAATCAATTACAAAAGGAAAATTCTGAAAATTCTAATTATGTAAAAGGTAAAATATTGTAAATTGGATGCTTCTGTTAAGGGTGGTACTTTAAATAAAACCGAAAATCCCAAATATTTTCTAATTAAATTGTATTATATTAAGCCAATTCTCATTGATTATTATTTTAGCATCCTCGATGGAGTTGGGCTCCAATATTCAAGATATACAAGAATCTTTAGTATTGTTAGATTCTGTTACCTCTCAACAACCACAATCTTTTTTGCCAAATCGTGATTTGCAAGTTACTACAATGAATCAAGAGGAAATTATTACTGTTTCGTCAAACGAACTCCAAGGAAAAATTACACAGCAGCAGCAGCTATTAAAGCAATCTTATTCGTGCGTTGCAATAGAAAAATCATCTCAGACAAATTCACTCATACAAAACAAAATAAGTTGCTCTTCGTAACTAACTTTCTGCTCTAATAATATTATAGGTCCAATTCTGTCATCAACCCTCCTTACAATAATCTCCAAACTAATGTCTAACTCGTGGATGCGTCGATCCAAAAATCGACCTCCGAAACGGACGATGGAAATTTCTATTACGGATATTTTATTTATTTAGTTTTGTTTTTGTAATAAACGATAAAATTTTTATTGTAACTGAATTTATGCTGATTATTAAATTAAAATATACTGAAATTTTAAACTTTTACTATCGCTGAGCAGATACGTGGATTTCCCGCTGTAAATTCTGTCTGTGATTAGGTCTTAATTCTTTAATAAAAGAGTTTAATAATGAATTATGCGATTTAATTTGATTATTGTCAATTTCATAAGTAACTACCCCTGATCATCTGTCCTTTTATAGAACGGTAAACTTATATAGATGCTCTACACCGCAAATACAATGAATCGTCAATTTGGGATGTAATATCTCGACGACCAGTGACCCAATTCGAGCGAAATTACTACGATTTGATTTATCTCGACTAGACAATGGTTTTGCTCGGGTCACTGAGCGTCGAGATATTGCATCCTAAATTGACAATGCTCGTTAAAAATGATCGGGTATAGTGCAATTTCTGGACAATCATGTGATCACATTATAAGTGTTCTGATTGGCTGAATATAAAAGTCATGTGATTATATTCGAAGAGGCGTTAGAATATAATATTAAATTGTAAAGATTAATTATAACGATTATAGGGGAACGCTAAAGCAGGATAGTGGATTATATATCAATTCGAATTATGTAAATCCAGATAATATAAATCTGAATTTACCTAATGATTAAAGTTGTATAACTGTACACAATATATTTTATTATTATTACAAGATAATTTTTTTTTATTTTTATTTTTTTGAATATTTGGAAGTGATTAATTGGTGAAGAAATAAAAATAATAAGAATAAGGATGGATAGGGGATGGAATATTGATTAAGAAATAATTATATTAATAATATAAGCTTAAAAATACATTTATATAAGAAACATAAAAAAAAATTAAATATATTTGTGTAAAAAAATTAAATCTTATATATATATATTTATATATCTTGAATAAGATTTTTAATACAAGAAATTATTAATTGAAAATATATAAGTCTTTTTAATATTAATAACTTCTTTGAAGTATTTGAAAAGAAATTTTATGAAAAATTATGACTACTTATATTTAATATCTAAATATAATATAATAACTAATGATTTCTTAATAATAATTTTTGAATTATTTATATCTATCATTTCTTAAAATATTATAAATTCAGTATACAAAAAGCAGAGATTTTAGTTAAAAAGAGAAAAAAAAATAAGTAAATATGATTCTAATCAATGTGATATCAAAATCAAAGTAATATATATTGTCATAATTTAATAATATAAATTGAATATTATAAAAATACTTTAGATTATATATATCAAATTGAGAATATTAATTAAATAAAGTGATCAGAAGTAAAAATAACATTATAATTTAATTATAATTCTCTAATTAGCTATCATAATTAATTATAATTTTTTGATTAACTGTCACAAGTCATAATTAATTTAGATAATATTTTTAATCAAAAGTAATCAGATAATTAGTAACTAATAAAGTAAATAAATTATATAAATCATCAACTATTATTATTATAATTAAGAAATTTGCAGTGAAAAAACTTAATATTATTATTCAAAAATTATATCAAATTGAAGTGATAAATATTTAACAAAATATATATAAATTACTAACTAAATATTTTATAGATGAAAAAGATTTTGAATTTAATATTTAATATATTTTGAAATTTTTAACCAATAAAAATTATCAAGTTAAATATTTTAAGATTATATAGTAATTATAAAAAGTATTACAAGATCTCTACTTTATAAAATATAATTAATTGTAAAAATTATAATATTATAAATAACTAATTCTTATAAACTTAATATATAATATTAATAAGTATTTATAATATTTTTTTATCTTATATATTTGAAATAATTTTAATTACTAGAATGTGAATATATATTTTCTCATTAGTAAGAAAAATAATAATATAATAACTAAAATATTAAAGATAATTTATCAATTTGAATTTTATTATCTTTTTTATTATATATTATATAGTTAAAATAATATAAAAATAAATAATATTATAAATATCTTTTCTGATATTATATATAATAAGTAAAATTATAATATTATTTTTTGTATCATGTATATTATATAAATATAATTATGTAAAATTTATTATCTAGTAATATATAACTAAATAATCTTAGTCATACATAAAAAAATAAGTATTAATTATGAAAAAGTTATTAATAATACTATTATTACTTATTTTATTTCTGAAATTATTTATTATATTAATTATAATTATACTAATAATATAAAAAAATAAATACTTTAAACATATCTATATTTTTCTTTTTTATTATAAATTATCTTAATAAATCTATTATAATTCTATTATAATAAACTTAAGATAAAAATATTATCTTAATTAATTATAATTTACAATAACTAATTAGAGAATTATAATTAATTGTAATAACTAATTAGAGAATTATAATTAAGTTATAATATTATCTTTAATTTAAAAAAATAATAATAAAGAAATATAAATTAATAGATAAGAAATAATTTATTATATAATTAATTTTCTTTAAATTTTTTAAGTTTATTAGATCACATGATAAATTATATTTTTATGATATAAATTTACTAACAATTTATTTTTTATTATATAATTTAAAAGTATATTTCAAAATTATTGAACTTGATAATAAGAAATAAGTTAATTCAGAAAAAATAATTCTTAATTTTCATTAAAATATATCTTTATAATTAATTTTGATAATAAGATTCTTGAATAAATATATAAGTTTTTTTATTTTATTCAAAAGTTAATTATAAGTAAAACTATAATTATAAATATAAGAATAATTAAGAAAAAATCATTATTAAATTTATAAATATTTTAATATAATTATAAACTTTTTGTTACATAGGTAATATATCAAGATAATTCACATAGAAAAATCAAGATATAATATTATATCAAGAAAGTTCACACAGAAGATTCAAGA